AATTAGAGCCATTTCTGACGTTTTCGGGATGCTGCGATTTTCAAAATAAATCGACAATTCTAAACAGCACAACACTGCCTTTAATATTTCTTTTGCGCTTTTACTTCTTCTAAACTTATACTTAATCAACATAGACAGTGGACTCATGAAATAGTGTCGGTTTGCGAGTGATTGGCAATCATTCGTAAATTTCGACACATTTCATAAGTTCGATTAGATGTGTTCGATTAGGTGTGTTCGACTCTTTTACAATGGTGAGCCGACTAAGCTCTCCGAAACGTCAGACTTCCGATAAATCTGTTCCAGTGAGCCCTTCTTATTTCTCGAAGTGCTGATCACCTGAAAATCAAAGATCACGCCCCTTCTACACCCCTCCACCCGTCCCGTGGAGAGAGCTGTTTAGCATACCGCTGGTAACTCCGACAGTGTCCCCCAAACGGGCCACGCATTACGTGCGCTGGACCAACACGGAGCCATATCTGGATGTCGGGAAAGATTTGATTCAGCAGTGCCTTGGAAGTCTGCACATCGCTCCTTTTGTTGATGATGATGAAAATGTCATCGACGTGTCTGGTCCAGAATTTTTTGGGGGGGGGTACGAGCTGAAGACCAGCCGCTCGAGCCTCTGCAAAACCGCTTCGGCAGTTTATCCAGACGGAGGCGAGCCCATCGGTGTCCCCTTCTTTTGCTCGTTGACCTGGTCGTTGAATGTAAAGAAGGTCTTAAGACATAGTTCTAGGAGCTCGATTATGTGAACTCGTTTGAGCTGTTGATCGGTCTCATCATACTTTTCCCGGAGAAAGCCATCAATGGTGCCGATAGCCAGCGCGGGTTGGAAGGAGGTGAATAATGAGACCACGTCAAAAGACACAATCATCTCATCTGCCCCTACTTCGAAACGTTTGATGCGCGCCAAAAACTCTTCAGCCGACTTCACTGTCTACTCTGAAGAGGCTCGAGCGGCCGGTCTTCAGCTCGTACCCCCCAAAATTCTAGGCCAGATACGTCGAAGACACTTTCGTCATCATCAAAAATAACGGTGTGCAGACTTTCAAGGCACCGTTGAACTCAGTCTTACCCGACATCCAGTTTACTACGGACGAAGAGCTCAACAATCAGTTGGCCTTCCCTGACGTACGAGTGACAATGCTGGAAGACGGAAAGATAAGGACAACGATTTACCGTAAAGCAACTAGCATCAGGCGAATCCTCCACGTCAGAAGCATCCACCCCGTTGGTCACAAACGCAGTTGTGTCGGAGCCCACTTCCATCGCGTTCAAATACACT